ATTTTTGCACTTGTAAAATATTAATGTAAGGCAATAAAAAAACAATATAGAAATAGATGCTTTCTTCAACAGCTATTTTATCTTCCTATATGTAACAGATGTTTCTTAGACGCAGGAATGAGGTTTTACAATTTTTTTTGGATCTCCAGAAAACAAAGAAAATGGTTCATCACATTGTAGTCAACTAGTAACACTGAAATGCAGTAGTTATAAATATAACAACATACCTTGCCTGCCAGGCGACTGGAGATGATCCCATTGCTAGATATAAGACAGTCAGCTAAGGTAGTTTTTCCTGTTATTAAAATAAAACAATATTGATTCTAATCAATAGATTTTTTTAAAGGGGAGGAAGATTTATTATACCTACAGATTTAGTATCTGGCCATAAGAATATGGGAGCTCTGGTAGCATAGTGCCTAAGGCACTTGACTGCTAACCAGAAGGCTGGCGGTTCAAACCCACCAGCCACTCCTCGGAAGGAAGGTTGGGCAATCCTACTTCCGTAGTGATACTGCCTCGGAAACCCAAGGAGGGGTCGCTATGAGTCGGGTCCGACTCGACGGCAAATAACAACAACAACAACAATTGGTTTAGCAAAGAGTTCTATTCACCGATATTGGATGAAGCAAAACAAAAGGAGTATTTTACATTAAAGACTGTAACTAGACTTATGAACAGAAGATCACCTGGAAGGATACAGTACTTTAGAGTGCTGTGAATCCACTCCATCAACCTCACCTGAAAATCTGTCAAGCAATTTTTTTTAAGCAGAGCTTATTCTTTTTAAAAGGCATAATTTACACAGAGTAAGTAAAATGCACAAGTCCTAAGTGCACAGTTGATGAAGCAAGCCACCACCCAAATCAAAATACAGAACATCAGACAAACAACTTCTACAGTTACTATAACCAGTCCCAAAAGGATTTGATCAAGCTTATCACAATTATTACATCAGTCATCTGATATCTGTAATAGTGACCATGCCTATAAACTATTAAGCCTTTTGGAGCTCAGAATTACAAGAGGATAGGCCACTAATAATTTGTTTCTCTGAAAGGTATCCTGGGTAAAACATTCAGAGACACAGAACATACTCTTTTGCCCTATTATATTCTGCAGATGACCTTAGCTGGCATTTGCCTTTAAGGATTATCTTTATGAAAATACTTATTTAGAAAGAAATTCGGAAATTTCCCCTTATCTCCTACTGTTTGCAATGCAGCCTGTGAAGAACATCAGCTACACTGTAAATATCATTGAAATCTAGGATCCAAACAATCTAGGAAACTATAAATTCAATTCTTTGTATACACAAATACACACTTAAAACTGTCTTTATTAAACAGATTACAACTAAATTCTATACAATTTCAAGTGGTAGAAACAGATGGCTTTCCCTGTTTAAGAAGGAACTCATAGTGTAGTAGCATTCAGCTGATAACCAAAAGGGTGGTGGTTCAAATCCAGCTGCTCAGTGGGAGAAAAACAAAGCAGCCTGCTTCTGTAAAGATTTACAGCCTTGGAAATCTTATGGGGCAGTTTTACTCTGTCCTAAAAAAGACTGCTATGAGTCAACTCAATGGCAACGGGATTCCCTGTTTAAAGAATGCCATGGGTACATACACTTACTGCAGTTAGCTTGGAGTAACAAAAACAGAGTTTTGCTTTTTTTTTCCTAAGCAAAATAAGTCCCTTATTATACCCTAGGAATCTTAGCAAAACTATGGGATCTGTGTGTAATAGTTCAAACCAGAGATCAGTAACTAGGAAACACTGATAACATTTAATACAGTATTATTAGCTTGTCATGTAAATATCAGGTTAATATATAATCCTAGAGCATTACTTTCCTGCTATCCAATGACGAAATCATTCTAAGTATGGCAAATCTTGGATTATAAGTGCCAAAACATCAGAGACTTTGCTGTACTCATAGCTGCATCTCTAGCCCCAGAAAAATGTTTGGCATATAATAGAGGCTCACTATCTGTTGACTGAATGAATGAGTCCTAGATTTTCTAGGATAGTAACAGTTTAAAGTAATTTTAAAGAGTAAATTTAAAGTAGGAGCTCTGGTGGCATAGTACCTAAGGCATTTGACTGCTAACCAAAAGGGTGGCAGTTCAAACCCACCAGCCACTCCTCAGAAAGTTGGGCAATCTACTTCTGTAGTGATTCCGCCTCCATTGTTACACATATACCCCACCTACTTTCCACATGAATTCACAAAGCAAAAAATACTTCTATAAGACTTCATGTCCTCAAAATGTGAGCAACATAATTATGAAACCTATTGGAAGAGTTAAAAAAAAAAAAACCTCACTGCCATTGAGTGGATTTGACTCATAGCAACCCTTGGGTTTCCGAGGCAGTGTCTCTAAGGAAGTAGATTGCCCAATCTTCCTTCTGAGGAGTGACTAGTAGGTTTGAAACGCCAGCCTTCTGGTTAGCAGTCAAATGCCTTAGGCACTATACCACTAGAGCTCCCAGAAGAGGGGTTAGTCAATGGATTTTTATATAAAACTCATTCTCAGTTGGCTTCACCTATAAAGCGGCCGATTACCCTTCTTCCTTATTTCAGTTTTCACAGTCACTTCAGTTCTTACGTCAGTGGCAAAAAAATCATCTAAGCAGTTCCACTAGACTAACTTTTCTAATGTATTATTTGAATACATCATATCCCTGCTTTATTTTCCCCTCAAATGGCTCCCTACGACTTCATAATGTTAATGGTCACCTTCATGATTAAAGATTTACCATCCTGCCAAAGGTTTCTCACTCATCATCTCATTTAACCCTCACAATCCTACCAAGTAGGTAGTTTTCATCTTATTTTACAATGCTGTCAGTGAAGCCCAAAAAGGTAAAGAAACTTGAAATGGAGTTTGGAACTCAGGTTGTCTAACTCTAGAGAATTTAACTTTTATCTTAGTGCCTAGGCTAGCATGAACGGTTTTATAAGATATGGTCCAGTCTGACTCTTCTTTTTACTACTACTCCCTCACCTTCAGGACAATAGATAGATTTCATTTCATAAGTCTATTTCCAATCACTTGGTTGCTGGTATCTGAACTAAGAAGGATTCTGAAACCAAGAGCAGGCTAAACAGAATGCAGTGCTATCTAAACAGGACACAGTGTTTCACCCTAAAAACCTTATCTCATGCTGGCCTGGTGCCCTATTCATAAATCTGTCTTCTGCCACACCTTGCAAAACACCTTGAACTTAGTAGATATTCAATAAATAGCTGATAAATTACATAGGATCACAAAACACTATGAAGACATTATGTCAAGATTATAGACCTTTTTTTATTTTTTCTCCATTGTGCAACCCACTTCAGTGCCTGCAGCCTACCGGCAGAGAAGCCAGGCAATGGTTCGGGGCTACAGTATGCTCTAGCATGGGACACTATGAGAGGCCCACGGGGACAGGCCTGCCATAAATCCAAACCCACGCAATAGATTTTTTTTGGTTAAAATGTGAAGAATTTTTGAAATGGCTTTGTAATATAAAAATTACAAAGTCATTTCAAAAATTCTTCACATTTTAACCAAAACTCAAATTCAAATTCTAGTTTAAAGAAAAATGTGACATACTATATAAAGAAAATGCTAATCACTAATTAGTCACTTCCACTTTAAAGTCTTCATAGTGTGCTTCTCCTACATCACAGAAACTTCTAAAGGAATAAGATTTGCTTCTTAGGTCAGCTAAGTATCACTCTCAGTTGAGGTAAGCTCACAGCTTCACTACATGAGACTCGTCAAGACACATTCCTTTGAAATTGAAAATAGGGTGGTGTAAAAGAATTCTTACCATGGTCAACATGAGCCAAAACACAGATATTCCTGATGTTTGCAGTGTTTTTCTGGAGTTGAATCATCTTATCCAAACTATTGAGCACCATGGTTACTCTTCCTATGGCTAAAAATTAAATATGCATTACAGACAGCACAGAGGGTAATGGTGGAGGCAAAGAAAAAGTTCATATACTGCAAGTTGACAAGACTTCTCAGATCCTTTAAACTAAGAACTCAATGAAATTTTACTGAAGGGATATACCCATCCAGACCCAAATTCAACGTTAGCACTTAAGTCAGTAACTTATCACGATTGTACTCGGAAGTTTATTCATCCTTCCGGAACCGATGGCCGCGATGAATCGCTCAGCTCCTGTGGGCTGGGTGAACAGAGACCATTAATTCTGCCTTTTGTAGGAATACTAGGGTAAACTTCTTCAGGCCAATGACTGTGTAAAAGGGTCGCGTGCAGGAGGCATGGAATATGCTAACACTGCTCCCTTCTCTTAGAGTTTTCTCCAAGTCCCTCATTCTATTATTTTCCTTCGTTTTCACTAGAGATGAAATACTCAGATTTATTGCTACCTCTATAGCCCAAATAAAGTTCTGGATCACGCGCTTATTAAACATGCAGGTGCGCTGAAGGTCTTTCATTCCTTTCCAAATGAAAACATTCAACTCTATACTCCTTTCATCTTTGTGGGGCCTCTGATTCTTTTTCTTTAAGGATCCAGTGTCCAGAGAAGCGGCCCCCAGCCTTGGGCTGGAGGCGACAACTCGGGCGGGCGACTGCTCCCAGGCCGGGGCTCGCCCCAGCCTCCACCCCACACCCTCTACCGTGACGACTGTGGCCCGCTGCACTGCTAAAAGGCGGGGCGAGAAGGACGCCTGCGCCCACCAGGCCCACACTCACCCTCGCCGGCCGCAGCACCAGCCAACTCTGTCCTCCAGTTGCCGGCCACACCAAGCGCATGGAGATGCGGAAATCCCTGTGAGTCCGGAACACCCGCATGCGAGGGACCGGGTTGGCTAGCGCGCGACCTTTGACCCGCGGGTAGCGCTGACGCCACCGGAAGCCGGCGCCGCGTCCGTCACCAGGGAATCCAGAGGTTGCCATGACTACTGAGGGAGCTGTGATGCTGGAGAAATAGCTTGAGTTGAAACGCAGCAGAGGAGGTTCTGCATGCTGAGGAAATGAAGAGCCGTTGTCTATGTCAGATTTGTACCTGCGGGTAAGAAACTGCTAGTGTGGCGGCGGGCCGGGGTTTGAGAGCCTAAGCTGGGGTCTTAGGGGACGAATCTGGTCGCCTAGAGGGCTCCCAACCCGGAGATGCAGGGATGGGGACGCAGTGACATCCCCCCTACTCCGATCTATGAACGCACTCTCTGCACCCTCTGGCTATCAGTGGTGAAAAGTTTCTACTTTGTAGTCTCCAAGAGTCTACATCCAGACTCTACATACATGCTTTCTGGGCCAGGCGGATAATGCCTGTGAAACAGAGGCTGGATGTAGAGCTACTAAGTGGTGGATCAGATCTGACTGGGAGAGTGCTTACCCCAAAAATTGAAGGAAAAAAGAACAGTGCTCATAGTCATGACTTTGCGGCCTTGCTAAATGCTTTCCCCCACCTCCACCTTTCCATTTTACAAGGCCGACCATATTTCCCTCCAGGCAGCCCTCCTTTGGGATCCTCCTGAGTAGAGGGGCACTGGTTACTACCCTGAAGCCCAGAATTGGTCCGTGAAACCCGCCTAACAACCCCCTACAACCTGTAAACACAGTCTTCTCCTTCCTAGGCTTCATTATTGACCCAAGGATTACATCATTGTTTGCTAAATAAACTTATGAATACGTCAGGTCCTTAGTTGGAAGGAAAGTTGGGCAATCTACTTCCGTAGTGATACTACCTCGGAAACCCAAGGAGGGGTCACTGTGAGTGGGATCCGTTTGGTTTGGTTTAGTATTTGTAGTCATGAAACTGCATCCTCCAAAGGAAAAACATTTGCATGTTAATGGAAAGCAGTTTCTACCTAGTCTCATAATAAACATTGTTTGTGATTAGATGTAGATTAAAAAATAATATTTAAGATAGGAATCTGAAAATTCGAGTGTGCAAGAAAATTTTTTATTTTTTTCTAACCTTTATATTTAGGATTTGTTTATATCCTACCCCACTGCCTTTTCCATTCAGCTCACAGGAAATTCCATTTTCCTTATAGTAGGGGCTCCCTTTCTCCAGACATTATAATCATCCAGGGAGCTGAGGCAACCAGTAAGCAAGAGGAGTCCTCTCTGGTCTTTGAACATCAATAATGCTTACCACTGATGCCCGGCTACCAATGCCACCCCTTGGAAAGGGATCAAAATTGAAGATCCTGGTTAGAGTGGGAGGAAAAACGTGAAACAAAATTCAGAAACACAAAAATGGCCAGAATTGCTGGTTGGATAGAGCCAGATGGAACACCGTGACTATGGCCCTGGATTATCCTTCTTTCCTAGAAATGGACTCATTTCCATGGATTGGCTCTCTGCCCAACAGTAAAAAAGACCTATGTGCAGAATATGGGGCAATCTACTTTCATAGTGATACTGCCTTGGAAACCCAAGGAGGGGTCACTATGAGTCAGATCTGACTTAATAGCAGTGGTTTTTGGTTTACCCTAGGGAGATGCATCCCTCAGATCAATCACCCATGAGATCAGAGGGGCAGCATTCACATAGAGAGAAAGCTGGACAGATGGGAATGCATAGATAAGAAGGGCACCTTGAGAGGGTAGTCACAGGGAGGAGAGGGGAGGAGAGTTTGTTATGGTTGGGGGTGGTAATCAGGGCTGTGAAATCAAATGTGCATGAACTGTTGAATGTAAAACAAATCTGCTTTGTAAATTTACAACCAAAGTGCAATTAAAAAAAAAAAATGTTTACCACTGAAATGTCCCTTGCTCAAGTTCACATAGTCCCTTCAAGAGTGGTGCCTCTGAGTGCTTGACACAGAGCATCCACTCAGTCAAGAGTAAATGACTGAGAGGGGTTCCGGCAAGATGGCGGACAAGGCAGAAGGATTGCACAGACCCTCTTCAACAAAGAAAAGGGAAACCAATTAACACAGACACAGAAGA